CAAAACAGATAAATAAATGAATAAATATCTTTGAAAATTAAGGAGGAAAATGGAAAAAAAAACCAACCTTGTTTCTGTATGCATTCCACTCCACAGTTTATAATTCTTTTATATGATACAGATGAAAAATTATAAAGGCAGAGGTTTTTTTAAACTTGAAAATTCTTGTTTTCCAATTTAGAATTTTCAAGTTTAAAAAAACATTCTTCTGTACACGGTCCTCAAGACTTCGAGGTGTTTCTTTTCCTAGCCCTGGAAAACTTCACTAGTCTGGGACCCACAGCATGTGGGTTTGATTGTTTTTTAAGGACTATAGAGAACTAGAGGCACTGTTAAGACAGTAATACAGTCTAATAACCAGAATAGTTTAATCCCATTTGAGCTACAGATTCTGTGCTGGACAAATTATTTCTGCTCTTGCACTTGCACTTGGCTTGCAATTTGCAGCAAATGAAAACTGTAGTCTTGAGTTCATTGTGAAACAAATTAGAAAGGGAAAAAAAAGGCCAGATCAAGCAGAATTTACTCTGAAAGGCCGGCAGAGGTATTGAGTGGGTTCAACATCTGAGCTTAGATTCACAGCCAATTTAATACAAATTCAGAGAGCTGAAGTTGCTGTTTGATCACTCCCATGGTGGGGGGGGGGGGGGTGAAGGAAAGAGCAAAATACATTCATAGACTCGGTAATTGTCTAAGCAGAAGCATCCCTGGCACACACTCACTTCCTGCAGAAAGAGGCATTCTCACTTTGTCACACAGTGAGGGAAAGCCCGTGTGGAGAATTCCTAACTTCATTATCAGCTGCCATTTGTAAAAAGGTGCATACAATATTTAGTGGGATTAATGCTTCTCTGCCCTTACTTTAGCTCGAGGAAGTGTTAGGTGTGCTAAAGAAATTTACGCCACACCTCGAGCCCAGCCATTCGGCACTAATTTAAAGCAGAGTTTAATTAAAGCCTCTCCTGCCCCATTTGCCAATCAATGAGCTACAGCAAACAAGGGAAATGGAGCAAGGATTTCAGGGCTTCTGCAATGCTCATTATCAGCGGGATTCATGGTTAATATCTGAAGTCATAGCTCCTTAATATATTGGCCAAACTAACACCTGGTTAGCACTTTCATCCTCTTTACTTCTGGTCTTTGCCTCCTAAAGACAAAGGGAAGCAGTAGAGGCAGCAGAGGTGACTTCCTACAGCCTGTCTCAGTACTTGTTTTGTGCATAAGAACAATGCAGTGCTCAATGGCTCCATCTGAAAACCAGATTAACAGTACTGAGAAAAACAGAAGATGGACATGGCTTAATTCAGTGTTAGCCACTTGCCTTTGATCCCTACACCATATCAGAAAAGAGCAAAAGGTACAGCATGTTGGTAGATAAAGTGTTGGTGCTTTGAGTCCATTCCCACCTTGTTAAACTCAGAAAGGTTTTGCCACACACTCGGTAGGAGCAGGATCCTAAACTGCACATGCAGTAGCTGAGGTGGTTTAAATGTTTACAGTTCCTTGGCTGCAGATGTCATTAAAATCTTAAGCTCAAGCTTTTTGTGTATATGTTCATTACTAAAGTATGATCACTCTGCTCTTGGTACAATAAATTTCAACTTCAGCTGATTCTCCCCTGTTTACTCTGAATAATCTGTTGCCATAAGAAAAAGTTCTTAGAAGTCCAATCATTTGATATTAGAGTATTAAAACATCACTGGGCCGTAATTTTATGGTTATGTTATATGCACAGTTCCAGGCTTGTCACTAAAAGCTCAGAATTGCAAACCATTATAATTGCAAAGCAAATACAGAATTGCAAATGAGTGAAGAGTTTCAAAATAGAATGGTTGAAATTATAATGATGTTGATCCACTCAGTGTCATTCAAATAACTGCTCATTTTCTGTAGAAAATTCTATCTAATTTTCAAAAGTAAAACTTTTTCCTTCCACATATATTATTTGTCCTTTACATTAAGCTGAACAAACAGGATTTTTTTTTCTTAAGAAAGGCAAAGCATTTCGAAGTTTGTTATGATATTTGTATCATAATAAAAACATCTGTGAATCTGGCATATAACAAGTAAAAAAATAAACACAAATTATTTTCTTTTGGAGCAAAATCATGCCCTGATCCAAGCAAGCAGTAGATACCACACTCAGCTTTCTGACAGAAGAGTATTGCCCTCACATGAAACATTTCTACATCCTTGTGCAGTGCCTGACAAAGAGAATGAGCAAAATAAACAACTCCCATATTCCAACTCCTTTCCACAGGTCTGGGGAAAAAAAAAAAAAAAGGCAAGTACCACAACAGGGAAAGATGGAATTAGTACCTGCTGAACACACTGCAGGTATTTTCTCCCTTTTTCCAACAGATCCAGCAGTGTCCATACCTACAGTACACCTGGAATTAATCAGCAGAGGACAGAGAGTGCAGTAACCACCACAGCTCGCACAGTGTCAGAGCCTTTCAGAGCTGACAGCATTTTTGGGTTATTTGCTGCCTGCTCTCCTATAGATCACAGCATCCTAAACATCACAAATAAATTTCATTAAAACAATACCTTCTATTTAGATAGAATTTATGCTTCAGAAATGAACCCAAGCCCTGGCAAGACAGCAAGAGCAGAATGCTTCTGCTTTCTCAGGTAGCTTTCCTTTCCTAACACCCCACAATTCCACGTGTTAACCACCAGTCTCACAATGTTGTGTTCCTCTACCTGAGACAGGTGTACTCTAATTCCTGAATACTGATCCCTAGGTAAGATCAACTAAAGAGTTTTTTACTGCCTGACATTATTTCTCTTTCACACTCCAAGGAAGTCAACTCTCATTTCCTACTTTTGCAGTGAAAGAGACCAAGCTGCTCAAGCCTTTCTTTCTGTATTGTCCCCAGCTTTTTATAAATCGTGTTTAAAAGTGGCCTCCTGAAAGGCAGGAACGGGGCACTGCTGCAGGAACGTCAGCAGAGCCGTACTCAGAGCCAGTGGTGAAACAATCACCTTTTCCCAGTTACCCATTCCCAGTGCATGTTCCAGAGCTGGTTTGCTCTCCAAGACTCTCTTTTGCTCTGCAGGTGTGGCCTTCACCCCTTTTATGTTCCCAGGGATGACACAACGTGCTGTCAGATGACTGATGGAAATGTGGAGCAGCACCAGGCACAGTCTCTCTCCCCTAAGAACTCAGTAATGTTTTGCCACTGACGTGGACTTTACGAAGTCTGGCAAACAGCTAATTCTTAATTTATTTAAGGTAAGCCTTAATTTGTAGTATTTCATTAGTGAAATGCCATCTGATACTGCCAATAGCTTTATGAAATCTAATTCTATTATTTCACACAGGTAACTTTATTAAGCAGGTACAGAATCATTCCAAAGTTTTCCTGGTATTGATTACACTCCTATCCTTAGGTCTTTCTAAATTCAATTCCTTGTGAGGCTTTTCACTCTTCTGTTTAGAAGAGATGCAACATAACCAGTCTATAAGTAGCTGGTTTCATCCTACTGACTCTCTTATTTCTGGAGTTTCTAAGCTTTTCCTTTGTTACAACTCACATTAAAATTTAATGCCAGCTGATGGAGATTTCGCTCAGCTTTTTAGAAATCTGAGATGAATTCTATTAAAATTAAAAACGTGAAACACAGCTCCTTTGGGGTGGAAAGTTTAGCAGCACACCTTGATGAAATGCAACTACATATTCCTCCTTTTTGAAAGCATTTGCATACAACCCTTTCAAGGCCTCTATCTTTCTTATTTTATTAACCTTTTTTTCTCTCCCAACAGCGTGTTAGGAAAGGCAATCCTTTCTGAAACCACTGGGCTGGCAGCCACTGAAAAATTCTGAATACTCTGGTGTCACAGCAGAATTTTCCATCCTTCTCCCCGAGTCCTCTTCCTGCCATCCTCACTGTCAAACACAGGGGTGGGTGGGGTTGTTCTACCGGACAAGTTTGACTTCCTTGGACTTGGTTAATTTTGGGATGCGGATGAGATTATTTTAATGATGTTTGTTTTTTTTACACTCTCAGTTCCACTGAGTCAAACATTTCAGAGTAAAGAACTTGGCGGGGGGGAAGGGGAAGAAACTTTATTATGTGCCTATCCTTCAAATAATTTTCCTTTGTTAACAAACTAAAAAGAAAAAGCTGACAATATCCAACAGACTATACACTGGGAAAGAGCAGCTAAGCACTGCAGCCATACTTTATAGCATTTTTAATAGCTAACTGTGGATTCAGCACCCCTAAAATATTATCATTCTCGAGCCAAGCAATATGATGCCATTAAAATTCTTTATTCATTTATTTGAAGTTGTTTCACTGACTTATTCCATTGCCATCTAAGCCATTACAATATCAATTGCAGTGTCTCCACGTTATGATGTTATGGTAATTGCTGCCTCATACATTTCAATTTTTTTATGCTAATTCTGGGCGCTTTGCACAGCCCCTCTTCTGATGTTAACTGCACTGCCTCAGACACTTTGACTCACACAGTAACCATCCCAGGGATACATAACTGCAGTTTATTGGCAAGAACCTGGGCTTAGGCCTGCCATTTACATCAAAATTAATTCAAAATCGTGTTAGTTATATGAAAAAAAAATATGCAGCATATTGACAGTAATTCCACTCCAAAGCATTTGAATTACAAGTCTATTGTAAAGGGGGGGTGGGGGAAAAAAAGAAAAAAATCACATTCCAGACCTTCAGCTACCGCACATTAAAATAAATAAACAAATAAATAAATGGGATATATTTTCCAGACTTCTCTAAGTTTTGTGAAACATTTCAATAGAAACACGTCCTTAGGATTGCAAGTATGCAAAAGAAATATTTTCACCCCATTTCCTGCCTTTGTACCGTGTGAAAGAGCTGCATTTTTTGAAATGTTTTAAAGTTAAGTTTAGCCACAGAACACGTTGACAGATCATGGGAGCTTACCTGCACCGAGCAAGAGGCAAAATCCCAGGTATTGTGTCCTCAGCAGGAGATAAATGGAACAGAAATGTCTTGCCCTCAAAGCTCCCCACGGTGTCTGTACAGCAGAGTCCCCCCAGCAGCTCAGATTGAACATACCTGGCCCTGAGATCTTCCACCTCATCTTCTCCTTCTGCACCTCGGCCACCTCGGGGCAGGAACTGCCTTTGGTGCGCTGTGAGAGAGAGAAAAAAGCCCTGCTTTTATTCCCCGACGCTCAAGAATCTTTACATATGAAAAGCTAAATCCTACGCACACAAAACCAACCATTTGGTGTCAATAAGTGGCCATTCACGAGTACAAAAGAGAAAACCATAATTCAGTGGAATGAGGTAAGTACAGAACAAGAACTTTGTGATCCCCCCCTGCCTAGCCTGAGTCAAAGTTTTGGTGCTCTTTTCACATACCAGCCATCAATATTTAGAAAAGGCAGATCGATAAAAATGAGGGTCAAACGTTCGTTTTGACAATAATAATCAATAATCGCATTATTGACCTAGAAATACAATTTAAAGAAACTAAATGGAAGAAACTCTTAGTGCATCACTCTCTAATTTTAATTAAAGTGCTACTGCTGTGCTCCTCCAATGCCATTTGTCTGAATTGTCAGCTATTTTTACAGAACTGCAGAAAAAATATGATCCATTTGGAGGTTTATCTGGAGTTTAAAGGCATAATTTCTTTTGGTAGCAGAGAAATAGCTAAGGTTAAAAAACCCAAAAGCAGCTACGTGAAAGAGCTCTAATGTTCCAATAGATTGTTTTATAGGTTTTCTGAAAGTGTCTGATCAATCTCTTTCTGCCTTGTCCTCTGTAAATGGAAACACATTCTAATAAGAAAATATTAGACATGAAATAAATTAATTTGTAGCTTACTATGATGACTATTTTTACATGAGAGTTACCTTCCTATGGCTTTTTTACCTGTTCTATTTTAACCACATTTGCTAATTTTTTGGCTAAATACAGCAGTTTAGATGTGCTGTATCAAATGTGTCTCCAGACAAGAATAAAACAGATCAGGAATCTACAGTCTATTTAGGAGATAGAGGTGGGGAATATTTACAATTATCTAAATCAGAAATGGTTCTCATAAGTCATTGAGTCCAGAGAGAGCTCCTGAATAACAGCATGACCAGATTATTACTACATGACTTTATATCTAAGTACATTGGCAGTTATTCAAACTAATTTCTTAATAGTTTTTACGCTCCTGTCTTTGAATTCAGACACCAAAGGTCTACTTAAGAAATATGGGGAGAAAAGTCTGTTTCAATAGTGAAAACTCCTAGTTTGTCCTGCAGACAACCACACAATTTTCTTTTTCCTATTACCATGTCCTTTTCCAGCAAGGACAGGAAAATTACATCCTCCAGGTTTTTCTGCTGCAGTACTCTCTGGAGGATACCTGAAAATGGATACCTATTTCCATTACACTCTCTACACAGAGTTTTGCCCACCTGGCTGTTTTTCATGCCCTCATTATTCACTCACCCCAGGAGCAGGACAGGGATCCCAGCATTGCAAACTGCACCAAGCTCCTGGAAACCGAGGAGTTTTGCAGGAGCAGAAAGGTGCTCTGGGCAAGCTACACTCCTGCTTTTGCCTTTACACACCCATGCTTCCTCCTGCTCTCTGTTCCCTTTTAGGGTGGGATGCCTGGCATTCATCAGGTTTCTCAGCTGGGCCCCATAAATTGGCCACCTGTTTTCAGGGGCAACAGTCCCCTCTGTGCATCAGTGTAAAATGAAGGGGTTTTTAATAGCCCTGAGTACTTGCAGTGGCTGAACCAATTTGTCCTTAAGTGAATTTGGCTAATAAAGCAGTTCAGCAAGTTCATTATCTGAATATATTTAAACCAATCTGAACAGGAACACAAGCCCAGACTCCTTCCCCTTTCTCTCTTTGTAATCACAAAGTCATTTATCCCTTTCTGACCAGACAGCTAGGAATTTTTCCTCCCTACTAATACAGCTATTTTCTGGCAGTCCCCTGCAATGGAGGACTTCTAATCAATTTCTCTTAATTTGATAAATATAATCAAATCAATCAAGCACTAAAAAAGAAAAAAAAAATGACAAAAAGCATCACTCTTAAGTGTGGGGCCTTAAAGCTCATTTAGTCTGGGCACTGTGCCCACCGCCAAACTGCTGAAGAGGGAATCAATTCCATGCACCTCAGTGATGCTCTTCTCTCTGGAAAAAGCCTTTCTGTGAGATCATGTGTTGTGAAATAGTCACAACTCTGTTCTGAACGATACAATTAGAACCTTAGTGCTATATCTTTCAAGTGCTCCTCGTTCTGCATTGCCTATGTTTTCAGCTTAATTCTAATTCAAAATGCTCATACAGATTCTGAGTGTTGAATATTATTAACTCAGCAGTCTTCCTGTGCTCCAAGATGCTCAAGCTGGAGTAAGGATGAAAAGATTAAATGATTAATTGGAAACACCAGTGGTAGAAAATGGCATGGGGGTTCGAATTTTCTAATTACATCCATTGCTGGTATCTTTGGGATATAGAAGATGGGAACTAATCATCTCAGACACGCTGTCCACCCAGAGGTTTGGGGTTTGCTTTCATTGTTGTGCCTGATCTTAGAGGCTATTAATAAACTCAGGGTAATTACCCCCTTGGGAGGTACATATCAGACAAGTTTGCAAACATACAAGGTGAACCACTAGGAAGTTCAGCAGAGGAAACCCTGCTACTGGCAGACCCAGACCCATGCTGAGTCAGCTACGGGGGGGGTAATGGGTTTTTCAAGGACAGGAGATGGCATCCAGTCTAATCAAGAGACATCAGCATCTCCAGGGAAGAGGAAAAGGGAGTTTGAGAAAAGGCAGCTGACAGGACTGTCCTGTATGAATACACAAAACAAGTTTGCAAGCAGAACATTAAGCTTGCTCCTACCTACAGGAGGACTTCTAGAAAAAATCTTGCAATGATGTTGGCTGGTTTGGAAGAGGTAAATAGGAAGGTGACAGCACGGGCTCCCTGGCAGAACATTTGAAAGGACAGCAATAAGGAACGTGAGAAAAAGAGAAAATAGGTGATTGTTAGGGATGGAGTGAAAGGTCTTTGCAACAGCTTTCCAATTAGCGATGCAAAAGTTGATCTGAACTTGTGGTTCAGATTCCATATATGTGACTCCTCTGATCTTCTGCAGCTGCAGTGAAAGCCCTGCCTCATTTAGAGCTAGACGTGATTATGAAATGATGCAAATAATGAGTTGATATAGCAAATAAAAAAAATATATCTGATACCTTTATAGTTGTTGGCAGTAGTCATCCACTGCAATTAATTTAGGTGGTTTCTTTTGAAAATATGCCACTTGGGATAACTTTGTAGCTCAGCATTTTAGGCAATCCCTGAGAAAAGAATGTTTTAAACATAAATTGGTAGTTTATAACAAAAAAATTGCATTCTTCAGAGAATGTATGAACATTCACTCTATTGCTATTGACTGTAGATTAAGTTATCCAGGGTAGTGATATTTCATCTAAAAAAAAAGGAAAGTACCACAGGAAAAGCTGTGAGAAACAGAAAACAATAAAATACTTATATATAATTCACTCAGATCCCAAGAACAATGCCTTCTGAAAATACACCTTGTGCTTTACTGTTTGAATTTCAGCATAAAAGAATAACAATTCCTTGCTAAAATTTCAAATGAAAAACAGGAGAGGCACGAAGAACTTTTGCCAGCTGAGATTATTCATCAGGAACAAAGAAACCAATATTCTGTGGGGAAACTTCATTGCAACCTGGAAGAGGTACAAAGCTTTCACACAAGACTTTTTGAGGCAGAAGTGAACAAGAAATAATTTTGTTCTCATTTTCCTGCTAGTATATCAATTCTAAGTGTTAAAAAAATTCAAATAATGCTATATTAGTAATAGATTATTTATATGCATTAATGAATTTGTAGAGGTCCTGTAATTACCTTTACCTGACCTGAAGGATGCTCATTTTTCCGGATGGAATCATATTCTTAAGGATACACCTGAATGATCCAACTACTTGAAATAACATCCAATATTAAGGAAGTATCAGCAGAGAGGGAATCACTGAGCAGTGTAACCTCCCTCCTCAGTTCACTCAAGATTCTGTCCTTTCTCAAGAGGATCAATAGACATTCCAAAAAAAAGCAGCAGATGGGGAAAACCTCCTCTGACCCTGTTAAAGACACTGACTGTTTTGGTCAGTCCCAAGGCAACAGGAGAAAGGAAAGTAACACCAGCATAAATTAAATATAGATAGAAAGTCTTCTCTGTCAGAGGTGTGCTATAAATTCAGTTCAAGGCAGCCTTGGGGAAATCAACTTTTTGTCAGTCAATACCGGACAGTTTGGGAACTCCATTTGATCATGATGCAGTTAGAGAAGCTGAAATCATCATCTACCCTTTAAACTGTCAGGGAAGCACAGTTAATCATCTGCTTAGTGCTACCAGGGGCCCAGGCCTTCAGCAGCAGCTACTCAAGCAGAGAACTTGATAAAAAAAAAAAAAAATAGGAGGTCAGCCCCATGGAAGGCACTGCGGGAAGAACCAGCTCCACGCCTGACTCGGCAGATCCTGCACTGGATGAAAAAACTCTCTTAAGATTGGAAGAGAAGCTTTCAAAGGAAAGCCCTGCTGGTTTTGATTTGCAGAGCTTACTTTGGAGGCTCGTTACGTGACCAGCGTTTCTTTAGCATCGCCGGACAATGACAAACTGAGTTTTCTCGGCTGAGCTTTCCACGGCAACAATGCACTGAACAAGCAGGTTCCAGGAATTCTTTCTTATTTCTCTCGCATTTTCACAGTTCTAGTCACCCACATTGAACCTAAAGATGAGAAATAACTAGCCCTGCTAAGTCAGCTGGATATATTTTGTGTGGAGTAAGCACCACGAGTTAAGAAAACAAGGAAGTGGCAGAGAGAGAAGGTGCTCACGTGCCTTAGCAAAGACCACACGTGGTTCTGTGAAAGAAAGACAGGAATTAAAAGTTAGATACAAGTAAAAAGTTAGGTAGAAAAAGTTTTTATGCATAGATAATACTTCATAGATACCATTGACATAATTATGGTAACACGACAGCCATGCTGGGTAGAGAACATACAAAGTGAAAAATACTTGGTAGCAATTACCAAAATGATCACCTTCTTCTCATTTAAAACAGTTTGGTTTGATACCCTAAGTATTTTTATTCTCCCTACTGGTCTGGCATTTGACAAGCCAGTGCTCAGATGTCCAGGAACCAAGGATTATTTTTTTTAATTTCCTAAATGATCTAAAAAAAACTCTTGTGATTTTTTTTTCTGGTTCAGAAACTATAAGTAACTGTTAAAATTCAAATTTAGCCTTTTTTTCCTTTACATCCATTGCCATCACCCCTTCCAAGATTTAAAACAGCTGAAGTCACTGATCAAACCATATTACAAAGATTGTTTTGCTTCCTTTGCTGAATAAAGTTTACATTAAATTGCTTTGCAGTTCTCCCCCTCTCAGGCTTTCACATCAAGTGTGTTTCAGACCTATTTTGAAAGAGTCAAAATTACCACATTCAAACCTTTTTTTCAGCCTCGCTGTGTGTGATAAACATTTGATAAACATCTTGAGGGCGGTCTGAGCAGTAACACCGATTTTCAACTCAGCTCAAAGCGTAAGAACACGAGACTGAAACGCCAGGACCTTCCGACAATTCTCCACCCTCAATCTCTCTTACGCAGAATAAGGACAGAGGAAAATTCTGAGAGTGCATTTGGGAAGATAATTCTCGGCTACATTAATTCAAAGTTTGCTCAATTTTAATTACAGCATTTGAAATGAGATAACACAGCACCGTAGAGAGGAACTCTAGCAATGTGCCAAATGTTTTTATAATTCACCACAATATCCTTACATCCTGCTGTTCAGCTTACAGTGATTTTTCGTTTGCCAGTCTGTAATACCACTCTAATCACCCACTGTATTTGAATTTTTCCCCTAAGAATTATATATTTGATATTATTAGTGCTCTGGTACAGAACTGTAATAATAGTTCCATTCCTTTAATTTAATTTTCTAGCTCGGAAAAAGGTATTTGAACGTGGAAAACCTTACAATAAATTCAGAGAATTGAAAGTTCAGAATTAAAACCTCTACCATGACAAAATCTGAAAGCCTTCCATGAGAATTATTTGTGGGTCCTGCTCAGCAGAGCCCCAGCAGGTCACCAGCTGACTTTTTGGGAATGTCTTCGAGAGAGGCAGCTCTGAGGAGCCTCCAGCACTCTGACACGTGCTCAGGGTGATCTATATGACCATGAGACAAAGAGCAAGAGAAAAATTTGTTAAAAATGAGAAAAAAACCCGTAAAAATAAAGCAAAGGAAAGGCCTGTTCCCTTTTAGTTTCCAAATTGCTCAGAGGAGAAGTAGGGAAGAGGTCCTTGGAGTGGAGGATGAGCGAAAAGCCCAGTATCATTTATCATTTCAAGCCTGAGAAATGCCTTTCAAATTCATAGAGCCTTGAGGAATGAGGGATCTTATCTTTTCCCAAGTATTGCCATGATGAGGTAGGCACAAAAGTTGTGCTTAATCTGCAAAAAATTTCACATCGGTTTCACTGATTTTGATGGAATTTTAAGTTTGGAAACGTTGCCTTGTTAAATGACTGCACCTACAAGTGAAGCAAAAGAACAGAGATTTGTATAGTTCTGGATGAAAATTAATGTTGACAAATATAATAAGATAAAAATCTAGAAAATAAACATACATGTAAGATATCTGTGCCTTTCTAATGGCTCTGCTATTGCCCAGTTTGCACTACACTCTGCTTTGAAGTCCTGCAGCACAAACTCATGTTTTATTACTTTACTCATTACACTTGAGGCTGCTGAATTCACTCCCATTGAACAGCTCTTTGGGCTGCTTCATCAGTTTGAATCACTGCTTGGCAATATTTTGTGAGATGTGATGCACTGCTCATTGTTTCTGAAAGATGATCTACCTCTTAAGTTCCTTGCAAGATTTTCTCCAGTACCGCAGTTTGCTTTAGATTTCTGAGATTACTGTCTCAGCCCTGCAAACAGAAATTACTGATCTTTATTCCTAAACTGGCAGTCTTTCTCTAAACCTTCTAAAATCAATGCAAAGACTCCATCTAAAAGGATGTTGTATTAATGCCTGACACTCACTAAGCTCATTACACTACTGATACACAAAGCAGCAAAAGGCTTAGACCTTGTTTCTTCTGTGTGTTTCTTTATTAATTATTCTCCTTTATTACACAGGTTTTCATTCTCCCAGAGCTGGGAGAGATACTTTCTTTTCATATCTGGTGAAGTTTTCTTACTATCTTCAGCCTTCAGTCATCACCACTGATGTCACTACAAGAGTCACTTAACTACAAGCACTGGATTTGTTCCCTAATTACCAAAGGCCCTTAGTTTCAGTTGCATCATTTTATTTAAAAGGCTCCATTCACTTAACATGTGCTGCCAAATCCAGCTGGCCCCAGTGCTTTAAAATAAAGGTTATTTGTCTGAAATGCACCTTCTTCATTTGTTATTACTCAAGGTGCTTGAAAACAGGTTAAATATTTACTTTTAACAACAAGAATTGACAGCCATATTAAAATACTCTTGAGAAGTCATTTTGCCTGCAAAGAGATACTGAGAACGTGTTTCTGCAGTAATATAGCAAGGACACATTTTCAAATTAATAGTAGTAAAGGCACATTTAGCTACAGCACCTGAAATTCATTAGGACACACACTGAACCATACGGTGTTTTACACTTGAACAAATAACTTGTTGCATCTGCTCCTATTTTTAAAACACTTGAGCGACCTTTATGTTACATAAATATAGCTCTCAGCTAGTTCTCTTTTTTTCAGGAGAACATGTAAATGTATTTTCTCATTAAACTAATGAAGGCAGTAGTACTGCAGTGTATTTGAAGGATTGCCAAAATGCCAATAGCAGCGTTGAAACAAAATCATTTGTCAATAGCAGGAGACAAGGGCACGGCTGTTATTAGTGATGATAAATTGGTACAAAGTCCTTCAGCTCTACCCAAAATCCTGGTAAAGACTCACTGCAGAAACACCCCGTGGCCTCTCCTTCAAGTCGTACCAGGGGTGGTAGTGTTTGATTAATATCTTGGGTTTTATAAATAGAACCTTTGGGGCAAAGTCAACTGAGCCTGAGAATCACATCACAGCCTACTTTACTTCTATTGAAAAATTTCTTGCGATTATTGGGCAACCTAAAATTCTTTTCGGGAAATATTCCAGGGATTACTCCATGAAAAGGCCAGTGTTTAACAAAAGTGAGGACAGTTTGCTGCTGCTGGATTGGATTGGATTTTCTGGATGCAAACCAGCAAAGAGCTGCCTCCTAAACTC